TTCATAAATTGTTTATCACAGCTTCAGCAATATTAAATTATCTATTATCTTCGTCAATATTTATCTCTTTTCCTTGAATTGTTCATTGCCTTTATCAATATATAATCATTCCCCTTAAATTGTTTATTACCACCGCAAGTATTTATTTTTCTCTTAAATTGTTTATATCCTTCGTTAACATTCATCTTATTCCTTAAATTGTTTTTACGACCACGTTTCCGCTCAAAATGCTATATCGCTACCAAATACCATTTATTGTTAAATCATATCGTTCACAAAAATTCTTCATAAAAATTTACAACATAAAATTAATATTCTAACCGTTCCCGATAAGTGAATTTCGGAGATGAAATTGTTTCCCCGCAGAATTACAGACGTTGAAACAGAATCAAATGATACGATGCGTCAAAGTAAATAGTACACGCGAACACGAGCAATGTGTTCGGGACTCCAAGGAGCTTATAAATTCGGATATCCCGCCAAGTGGAATTGCGGCCGTTAGCGAATCCTCTGGTTTACAAGCCGCGGCTGTATTACAGACGCTGGTAATCAGCGAATGACCTGTATCGTTTTGCAGGCATTATGGGGAAAGTGTGTGCCGGAGACCTATGGAGCCTCGTAAATTACGGGCATAGAATTTCCCCTCTGACCGGAAATCGGATATGCGTGTTTCTGCAACGGCAAGGAAACGCATTAGCTTGAGATCAAACTGACCAACGCCCGTAATTAATTCGTAAACGAGCCCGTTGTCTCGGAATAATCGATAGTTTCATGGACCGTGCTCTCTCTATCCACCGAAAAGAAACGTCCGGATTAAGTCAACTGATTGGCCGGAATATTGATTGGAGCTAATTCATTGAACTAAAACGCACTGAAAATCATTTCGTCCGTAACAATGTATCTGCGAACACAATTACCGTAATTTCTGCGTTGTACCCCTATGATTTTTGAAATGTTTAGGGGATCAATTAGTCTATTATTATATTAGTCTATTATATTAGTCTTTATATAGTCTTTATATTAGTCATTAGTCTTTATATTAGTCTTTATATATNTGTCGTCAATGTTTATATTCTACTCAAAATTGTTTATCATTATTGTCGGTCTTAGTATTTGTTCATAAATTATCATCTTCATC